AGTCATAGGCGGATTAGACACATATGGGGGTTTAGATTGTTTTCGTGAAAATTTTTTATAATTGTATCCTTCTACAACTGTAAGGTAGGTACGCCACTGGAACAGGAAACTACTGTCCGCCATTTGCAAAAGCCATCGCGGTCGCACGTATATTGTTGATATTCTCCTTCCTGGTATTCTTTATTCATTGGGCATCTTGTCCGATGATCTGATCTTGAATGGCGGTCGTTTTTTTAATGCAGGTAGTAATCTTTGCATTTCTTTATATCGTATTTGTGTTTTGTATGCCGCATTTTATATTTTTTGTGTTTCAATCTTTGTTTTTGAAATTTACTTGGTTTAATCGCAATACAGAATGACATGTTTCATACCGTTATCCTTTTGTTTGTAATTGTTTACGTTTTTGGTGTAATCCTTGCTTAATTTATGTTTATTGATGTTGATTACTTGGTCTAGTCCACACTCATATAAGTTTTAATCATTTTATTTTAATATGTGGAAATTACCGATTCGTTTGATCTATGTACTGACTTGTTGTTTGTAACTAACATTTTCTCCGTGAATGAAACAGTCACGGGGGTGGTAAAAACTGTATTCAAATTGAGTTACGACACCTAATTCCGTGATTGTCTTCTACATTCAATTGTAGGCTCGAAACCCCGAACGAGGAGCGACGCTACCTATCTTGCGGGGGCGAGATTATGCTAATCAAAACTCACATCCGGTACTCTTCACCCTTTCTCAGAATTTAGGTACCTGCTTACCTGCCCCATTGTTCCCAAGATTTGTTTTTAACCATGGGTGTAACCAACTTGGTGTACATGCATTTACTATCTTTGTTAATTGCTGCTCAAATTTGATAATTTTACAAATCATTTTGAACTAATTTGTGGACTGTATTAATCAAACCCTATTCCCGAATTAAATGCTCCTTTTTTTTTAATTATGACAGAAGGTTCATATGAACTCAGCAGAGCATTACCTTGAGAACCCAAGAAAATGAAACGTGAACTAACTATAATTAGGTGCTAATTAAGTGTCCTATTCCCGAATTAAAAGCTCGTTTTTTTTTTTAATTATGAACCTGGCAGAACGTGTAATAATTTAAAGAAAAGGAGCATTTAATTCTGGGATAAGTGCCCTCACTTAATTAACACCTAATTATAGTTAGTTCGCTTTTCATTTTCTTGGGTTTTAAAGGTTGTGTTCTGCTGAGTTCATATGAACCTGGCAGAACATGTCATAATTTTTAGAAAAAAGGGAGCATTTAATTTGGGAATAGGGCACTTAATTAGCACCTAATTATGCAATATGTTTGATTGTGTTCTGCTGACCTTGCTCTGCTAGGTTCATGGACATGAGACTGCTTTAGGAGGATACTGGGAATGTATTGATGATACACATTCTGCTGTACTTTCTCTCCAACTATGACATCCTCTTCCTTTGCTGACTTCTGCCTATTAATAGGTGAGCACATAATTCGATTATGACAGCGGTTGCATGACTCACATTGGACTTTTTTCTTGCATTTACTGAAAGGGTGGCCAATTTTCAAACATCTGGAGCAAACCTTTTTCTCAATCTTTACCTTGTGCTTATCCCATACGTCATTTTTTCACTTTCCAACACAGTAGTGATTTTTATAACAAAAAAATGCAAAAATCTTCCCTTACCACATTTGATAACAATATTCTTGAATATTGCGTTTCTTTTGGGGTTCTCCCCTTCAACCAGTACATTTTTATAGTTCTTATGGTGGCGTATTTAACTGAAACTCTTCAGGTGCACGTAAAATCCGCTTTCAATTTTTACTTCTTAAAATCTTCAAAAAAATCCGCCATTGATTTCCACGAGAATACCCAGTAAATTCTCCTCATCAAATTTGGCGGGTGATGTTATTTTTCAAATTATCCTGCCTGTCTTTCCCAAAAATAAAAATAAAGTAACAGACGCAACTGGCAAATCGTCAAAGGCGGAGAGTGACACGGATGCTCGTAACTTCTTTTTAAAGACGACTCAGAGGGAAAATAATAGAAGGTACTGTCGTGGAATGGGAAAAAAGTATATCCCTACAAATTGCTCTATAAGTCAGAAGAAGATGGAATCGGTTACAATGAAACTTCAGCACGATCGAGTTGTCTTGCTTGATGCCCCAATCAATTATCATTTATGAGAAATTGCTTTTATAACTTTTTCACTTTCGTTTCATCGCGTGAACAATATGAGGAATATAGCCGACTGTGTAGCTGAGTGGTAGAGCGTAGGGCTACATATCCGGGAGGTCGGGTGTTCGAACCTGGGCTGGGGTAAGAATTTTTAATCTGTGGTAGAAATGGGAATTTCCTTATTTGTAAAAAGAATTATGCGGGTCACTATGTAATTGGGCGAAAGCCTGTTGAGAGCCCAGAACAAGAGAGGGGCAATAAATAAATGAGAACTGCGAGGAAAAGGCATGTGCCATTATGGCAGCTGCTAAAAGTTGCGACTCCAAGCCAAGTTTTACGTTTCACTCTTTATCGCAGTTTTGCGAGCAACTTAAGTTGAATTTGTTTTATCATTGAATCCCGCATTTGTTTATAAAACTTGATTGCTGTGCTACTTTACATCTCTTTCACGTGTTTAGTCGACTATTATTTAAGGCATATGAACGGGTGGTAGCTTCAGGCATATTAACAAGCCTATTAAATCTGCATAATTGAGTTCATATCACGAAACACGCACCCAATCCTTGGCTAACAACAATGGAAAATATTTTGTGTTCTTTTTAATAATACCTTCGGCAGGTCGTCGCCATTTTGTATTGCCTAAGCACTTAAATTGCCACCTTCGAAATGACTTTTCACACAATTAGAACGCGCGGTAATATTTGACATAGTCTAAAACGTAATTGTTTGAAATTGGAAGGGCGGGTAATGCAAACTGAAATTACACGATACGTTGTCATTGAAGCGGTAATTCTCCCCCGTCGACGTCTACTGTCAACTTTACTTCCTACGTGTATTATTAATTGTTACACTTTGTGCTTACTTTGATGTATTAAAGGTATTAAATACACATTTAACTCCCATACTCGAGAAACTAAAATGATAATAAGGTACCGACGTAATTACATTTTCTAACAATGTAACGCTTTAAGTAACGTAATAAAGTCCCTTAATTAGATCGATTTTTATGATTCCCATTCTGTCAGTGGCTGGCAATATAGTTTTAATCCTCCTCAGTCGGATCCTAAGGGCGACACATTCGCCCCTTCGAAGCTCCTTCCGGATAAAACCGTGGGAGAGGAGTAATGGACAAAATGGGACTTTGTCGTAAAAGTTAAAAGTTTTTATGCGAAAAGCTCTTTAACGGGAGGTTGTTAAATATTCACTATGCCTAATTGTTGATCATTTATTCACTATGTGCTCAAGAAGCTTTTATATCGTAAAAGATAAAATTACTCGCGTTCAAAAAAAGTTTATTAGAATTACCTACCATTAGTTGAGGAATTATTTTTTATGCCGTTTTTTTTAATGAAAGTAATATGCCTATCAAAGCTACGACTGAAATGAGCTTAAAGCTCACCCATTTGCGTTACTTATACAAATTTTGTTACAATAAACAACTTATGTCATTTGTCTTTTTCAAAAGTTTAAAAAACTCATCTCATCATTTGCATGGTAATTGCGTTACTACTATCTACGAGTATACCACGAACTTTAGTGCCCCAAGACAAAAAGGTCCATGTTTTTCGCGTCTATTTCGAGTGTTGATAATGCGTTTTGCTTACGGACATTATAATTAGTAAAGTTAGTACGGGTTCCTTTCGATCTAATTACGTGGAATAAATTTAATTTACAGTTACAAAGGAGAAATGAAGTTAAGAATTGCGTGCTTAAGACAAATGAGATTCAACAGCGTTTTTCCCTCAATGGAGTGGTAAAAAGTAAAGTACTCAACTTCTCTTCACCGCTTGATTAGATAACGCAAAATGTTACGTTTGGGTCGAGTTCTCAGCTTACTACTTTCTAGGTTTTTCCGTTTCTTTTACCTCACCTTAACAACGTAGCTGACAAATGTATAATAACGAAAAACTTTCCTTCGTCTCAAATTAACTTTAACTTTTCCATTTCGAAAACTTTGAATTATTACGGCGGTAACGTGATAAAATTGCAATCTGCTTATTTGCTTCTGTACCGATGCGGCAAGGAACGCCGTGTCGATCTTCGGTAATCCTATACTATTTTTATTTGTTTCCTTTTTCGGTAACATTTCAATTTTGTAGTTTTATATGATGGTGGCAGGATATAGCCTGTCGATTCCCAAGTGCTTTTGTAGCTTGCAACCCATTTTTGCTATGAAAACTATTATATTCTTATGACAAAATTATCCTCTCACCCACATTCGTATTATTGCAGATCAATGGATTACAAAAATCTATGTAAAAAAGTTCAATGTAAAATTTACTTATGACGATTCTCTCATCTTTCATCGGTGTAAGGGTAGCTTATTAATTTGGAATTATTTTTTTCGAATTTTTATTTGTTGAGATTTTACAGATTCGCTAGACGGGCGTATTATTATTTATGTTTGATAGAGGGGAGTATACAGGGTGGTCGTAGTATAAGTCAAAATTTTAGTAAATTGAGATTTATGTGGAAGTCGTAGTTTACATTTTAACACATATGTAATATTTAAATCTGTGATTTCAACTTTAGCAATCATTTTCTGTCTACGTATTTAAATTCTATAGCGCGTTGACCTCATAATGAGTTCCGGAAATTGTTGACTCCAACCTGTCGACGATAATAGTAGATAATGCCCAGCTTAATAACTTTTGCGCTCTCTAAACCGCGCAGCATCAGGAATAGATCTTCTGTATTGTAAGAATGCAATTTTGCTTCGTTACAGGTTTTACAGGGGACGCGTATGAGATCTGGGACACGTGGAGAGTCAACTGAATTCTAGGACTTGAATTTATGTCGATCGACGAATCCAGTCTTATCTGATTTCTGTTTCAGGGATCTCGTAGCTCTAAGGCTTCGGCTGAAAGATGATAGAGGACTGAGCTTTTCCAACTATATCTGGCGTTCCGCTGCGGGTCCTGTAGGTTTCGGAATTTCCGGATCCACTGACTGGGACTTTCTATGCGGCAAAACCGTCATTGGATGGGTCACCTTTGCACTCTCGGAAAGCAGGGCAGATGGAAGAAGCGGTCGCATTAGTAAGCGAGAACACCTTCGTGGAACTCAGACCTTGAAAAGGTTTGTCTCTTTAATAGGGCCATGCGAACTAAGCTTCATGTTGACTGGGAAGATCTCAAGATCGCTTAGCGCAGGTACTATGCGATCAAAAATGAGTCGCTTTCGAGTCACCTTTGGAGTTTTTGTTTACGTGGGAAATCGTATTTAACTTGAACTTCCAAAGGCGACTCGACAGCAACTCATTTTTGATCTCCCGTTATAAGAACCATACTGGAAGGTCACGGAGGACCTTCTGTGGTAACATGGAGGGACTTACACAGTGCAGGGCTTTATTACCTTTTGAGAACATGGCAAATCTGGGCCTTCTAAGCTTCTAAGCCATATTAGTAAGATCACCTGTATCCGTACGGGTCACTGGTCGGTCAACTACAACCTACACAACATTGGTGTTGCAGGAGAGCCCACGTACATCTGAATTGGGCATTATCTTCGCTCACGAAATTTCACTTCTTTTCTGTTGTAGGTACAGTGGAACTGTCGAAGTGTAAGCACCTTTCAATGGTTCTTGAAAGAAACTTAATTCCTTACAACATCCACTTGTACGTTAAAAGCGAACAGGTAATTAGCTAGTGGAAAGGGTCAATCTAAATAGTGAGTTTTGCTCACCTAGCTCTAAAACGATGCGTTTTTGGGAAGAAATGTATAAAGTACCGAAATAAAATAAAGTGCAATAAAATGCACCAATATAAAAAAACTGAATTTCACCACAAATCTGAGGTCTTCCATTCGTTAATGGATCGTGATAGAAACCAAAGGTAAATATATTCAACATTTTTCAACATCAATAACACATTATTATGGCCACTTTTTTTCCTCTACAAGATGCTAGTTTTAAATTTTAAATCCGACGTTTCGTCTCCGGTTAACCATCATCAACTTTGTTTTTTCTTATGGGAGTAATGTTTTACTTTAGATTTTATTTGATAAGAGAATTTTTTCTGATTTCAAAAATGTAAACATCACTTTTTTTAATGTTGTTAAAATATCTTCTTTTTTACCTAGAAAACTTTGTCTTGGGTAGTGTACGTACGTACTTTCTTGCGTTTTTAGCAATTAAAAGATAGTTTTGTTTACTTTTTTGAAATTAGAGCAATTTCTCTGTCAAATGACACAAAAAGTAAAAATACTTCCATAAGAAGAAACAAAGTTGATGATGGTTGACTGGAAACCAAACGTCAAACTTAAAATTTAAAAGTACTAAAAAATAAAATCGATTTTGCAAAATTTCATTTTTTTCCGGATATCTCCGAAAGTAGTCGGAATTTTTTTAGTTTCAAAACTGCATTTTGTTAAACATCAAAATACGCAACTTTGTCAAACTTAAACTACCTACCTATCTCTTACAGTTCGCGAGATCCCCATGGTGGCCCTCGAATTTGAATCGGCCTGTATAGTAGAAAACCTTGTCAATATCAAACAACAACAACAATGTCCTTATTTTTATAAGTATGTGGATTGATGGCGAAATGGCCGACGGTGAAATGGCGACGGCGACACACCCTAGATCGAACTTTCAACCCTCCTGTCATGTCTTGCAAGATGTCAAAAACTCCTGATCGTGCAAAAACTAATTTTTACCCAAAATCGTCCTGAAACCTTCATGTTCATGCCTACTTTCCGTCAAGAAATTTTAGTTTCCATGACAAGAGGCAGAGCAGACTACACTGACTTAATTTAGAACAGTGGCGACAACATGGTATCTCGTTTTTGATTGGTCGTTGGCTCCGGTCGCCATATTGGAGCTAAATTCTAAACTGGCCAATAGGAAACCTCCCAAACGACGCGGTATTATAATTATTAATTATACTGTCTTGACAGTTCACGCATCACGGCTTAACGTTACTAGTTTACACTTTGCTCCTTGTATTTGCTTTAGTTTACGTTTTCCGGCTCCAGTTTTATATAAACTCCGCGGACTAAATCAACGTGTGGTGTCTTCCATTTATAGTCCAGGCAAATTAGTGGTCTAGCCCCTAAAAATTGCTCGGGAGCTGGAAATCGTTTTAACCCCTTGTTCTGTGATCCTTCTTGATCTACTGAGACGAGGTACTAGCCAAAATAAGAAGACGGCTGCCACAATTCCCTCATAATTATAATGAGCAACTTTTATTTTCACTTTCCTGTTCTATTTTTCTGTGGGCGTCTGGTAAATCATTAATGATTAATGGTTACCTCATAATCAGAGCTTGATATGATGATTTCAAATTGTTGTACGAGTTGATTAAATTTACTGCTACTTGAAAGAAAGTGCAAGAAAGTGAGAAGTTTTGAGTTCAGACGAGAGTTTCCTGCGTTGGACTGCCTTAGCGGAAATTTGGCTCTAAGGACTTTTTGGGTTTAAAATTCATATCTCAGCACTGGAGTGAGCGAATTGCAAATTTCAAAAAGCATCTGATTCACAATTACAGTATCTACAAGTTTGGCCCTATGGTATTTTTCAATTGGTGCGGTCCTTTTCGACCTACAGACGTTAGAAGTTGAGGGTTGTCAACTTTTGAACTAAGTTTGTAAAAATCGCGCATGCGACGCATAATTTAATGCTCTTTAGAAACGAGGAGAGCAAAATTTTCTGTAGGATAAGTACTTTTCGAGTTATAAGCGAAATTTTCAAAAAAGTGCAACAATTTTGGGTTTTTTAGGATCTCAAATCTGACACACAACCTAGAAACCGTCGCAAACTCCTATACCCGTTATTCAGGACCTCTTAAAGGGGATAAAATGATTTCCAGGCCTCGAGCAGTTATTAGGGGCTAGACCCCTTTTTAGTACTTATGCCTGGGACTAACGTGATACCTTTTATCCCGGAAGGAGAAACGCGTGACGAGGGACAAGAGTGACAGAACACACTGAAATGTGTAACACAATTTAATAATTACATTTTGAATATTGCACCATATTTTACACTTATTATACCGTTTTCCATATATCTTTTTGCATTTGGGAGGCATAAGTTGTCCTGCAAAGTTTTAAACGATCATTTCTGCGCCGTTAGTTTTGAAGGAGAATCTTTAAATGAAACTGACATTTATTATTCTACAGTCACAATTTGACAAGACAAGGTATATTGATCCTACAATCAATTTTTTAGCTCCAATATGGCGGATCATGATAAGTTGTCGCCCACGAAGTTATAAATATAAATTAAGAATTCAGCATTAGCAGTCCATTTTAATTTATAAGTTCGTGTTGTCGCCACTATCCTAAAGGTACCTTTACACTATAATATATCTCACATGATTTTTTTATATGATATGTTATATGATATTTACTACCAACATATTTTTCGTATGAGTTTTAATGTTTTACTTTACACTTGACAGGTTTTTCATATGACTTTAATACAAGAAGTTACGAAACCTATATAACTCCTCTAAATTAAAATGTTCCAAGTTCCAAGATTGGGCTACTAGTTCAAAAGTTACAGCCCTTTGAATTTTCTTTCAAAATTGGTTTCTAGTCTATAACTTTTTTATTGAGAAGTCTTATCGAAAAAGTACGAATTGTTTTGGAATCTACGCACCAAAATTAATAAGAAAAAGTGATTTCCCGAGAAATTTTCGTGCAGTCAGTTTTCGGAAAAAAAGGAAGCCTTTTTTTTGCTCCGAAAAAAAAATTGTCTCAGATCGTCCTGGGAAAAAAATTTTCTTATAGAACGTGGCCTGTAGAATCCATAACCTCAAACAGTTCCAAGATTGGGCTACTAGTTCAAAAGTTACAGCCCTTTGAATTTTCTTTCGAAATTGGTTTCTAGTCTATAACTTTCTATTGAGAAGTCTGATCGAAAAAGTACGAATTGTTTTGGATTCTACGCACCAAAATTAATAAGAAAAAGTGTTTTCCCGAGAAATTTTGGTGCAGTCGATTTTTGGAAAAAAGGAAGGTTATACACTGCCTTTTTTTGCCCCGAAAAAAAATTGTCTCAGATCGTCCTGGGAAAAAAATTTTCTTATAGAACGAGGCCTGTAGAATCCATAATTTCAAACAGTTCCAAGATTGGGCTACTAGTTCAAAAGTTACAGCCCTTTGAATTTTCTTTCGAAATTGGTTTCTAGTTTATAACTTTTGATTGAGAAGTCTGATCGAAAAAGTACGAATTGTTTTGGATTCTACGCACCAAAATTAATAAGAAAAAGTGTTTTCCCGAGAAATTTTGGTGCAGTCGATTTTTGGAAAAAAGAAAGGTTATACACTGCCTTTTTTTTGCCCCGAAAAAAAAATTGTCTCAGATCGTCCTGGGAAAAAAATTTTCTTATAGAACGTGGCCTGTAGAATCCATAACTTCAAACAGTTCCAAGATTGGGCTACTAGTTCAAAAGTTACAGCTAGGGAATGCAATCCCCCAGCAAAATCTCAATCCCGGTATTTGCAGGATCGTTAGATGTTATTCCCGCGGGATCCCGGTATTTGCGGGATCCCGCAAAATTTTAAATAAATTGGCAAATAAGCAACTTTGTGCGGTTAACTTCTGTATTAAAATAAATCGCTAATTATCACAATAAGTATTCAACAAAAAAGTACCTTCAGGCTAACTTAGAACTCAAAAAAATCACCTGTAAAGCACAAATAGGTGAACTTCTAAAGTGCCTCAAAAATCATAGTACATTTTTAACGAAAAAAGTTTAACAATTATTTTAAAAATAATTTCTCCGTTATGTTTTTCATTAACAAAGCAAACAGAGTCGTCCCCTTGGTCGACATTAAGGATGAGTGTACCCTTATTTGAAAGATTACCCCAAACATTTGAAGGGTTAATTACCAATCAAGACGCTATTTGACAATGTGTGTCTGAAAACACCACTACAACCAGACAACCAAATACCAATATACTCGTAAATATTTATTGCTCGATTTATTGTTTATGTAATTTATTCTTTCATTAGTAACTAATATACCTATAATCATTGATTATACACACCTATAATCAATGATATAATCAATAGTTTACTGGTTTACTCAAGTATTCAGCTTTTTCAGATAAATACAACAGCAAAATGCGAAAAGTAATCATAAAAGGGTGGGATCACTTGGATATTTAAAATAAGTCATGTCATTTGTCATGCAGAAATAGAAACATCCCTATTCCACGATTTACGTATTATTTCCATATTATTTCCTTATGATTTGTCTTATGACAGCCATAATACCAAAAATAGTATAGTGTAAACACAAATCTAAATGCTTGTTACTTTTCATATGACAAATCACATGAGAAGTATGATAGTGTAAAGGTAATTTAATACAATTACTGTAGAGCAGACTACGTTTCCTGCCGCTTGTCACCGGCCGCACCTGTGACATTGCTAAATGTCTATAATGACTCCTGTCATCACTGACAGATTGACATTAATCAAATCGATTGAAATGTTGTATATTAAAATACGATTTCGGGTAAAATTTAATACAAAACTCGTCAGTAAGATGGCATTACTTGACTCGGAAATTAAAGAGGCCTCGTACTTCAATATTTCCTCGCCAGTAATGTGTCATTTTCCTGATTTTTATGTACATAATAACTATGATCAGGTGCATTAGGCGTTTTAAGGTCTCAAAAAAGATTATAATCGTTCATGCCGTCTAACTATTTATTGCCTTTGGCCGTTGATATACGACAAGGGGAAGGTGTTTGTCTTCGCGTTAAACCTCGCAATTTGCATGTTAATTTTGTAGGTGCACCATATTATAAAACGCTATTTGCGAATGTAATTGCTAATATAACAATTTAGAAACAGATGACGCAATCTTATATGAATAGTTTGAGGTTATCACGGCTCGGCAAATTCAGGCGTGGTGTATTAGTCGAAATTTGCATACATTTGTGCGACAGGCAAATGTAAGCTAAAGGAAATCCATTAGGAAGGGTGAAAAGTGCCATACGTTTATGAAGATCTTTATTTGACGAAATATCTAATCGAGAGTAATTTATCAACGGGGGTAAATAAATATTTGCGCTTCTACCTCGCCCGGTGGTGGTTGGGTTTAGTTTGTCGTTCGTGATGAATTCATTTAAGGGAAGTTTTAAACTAATCTTTCCTCGCGCTCTTCGGCCCCGCAAAGTTCAATATTATGGTTTAAATGTAGGGAAGTCGGCGCGGTTACTGAAGCGTAGAGTCCATAGAATTATATAACTAACGATATAACGTTGAACTTGCCAAACGTACTATTTCAGTTCTTAACTTTTCCGAAGAACTTTTTTGTACGTTTGCATTATGGAGCGTCGGGGTAGAATTCCTGATTTGCGATCATATAACTTTCGGTTCTTTATTTGATATTCCTAACGTAAAATAGATCTAGAAGGCTTTTTCCCCATGAATTGCCGCAGCAAGATATTCAGAAAACTAAAGCACACTTACAACAATATGCTTATGTACATTCAGTTTACTCTGTACGTTGCACGGACGTTCTATGTACGTTTGTGTTTATAGCATTTTACTTCAACAGTCGAACATATCAACTCATAAATATTTAGTTCGAAATTACAATTTTAACAGCCGCAAACATTTTCTAGAAATCCCACAGGCAAGGATCAAACAATTAACTACTGTAATAATTCGAAGCTCTCCAAATTGCGGACGAATCTCATTTGGGGGTTGTGTTCATAATTTTTGGGGGGGTAGTTTTGAAATTAGTTACGTCTCGAGAGATTCTCCGTTTTATTTCATTAAGCTTGTAAAGACAAACCTCGCGAGCGCAACGTCAATTGGAGTAAAACGTCGAATAATTTTTAATCTTGATTATCGAATAACGCACGTATCGAATACCCTAGTAATTAATTTAGTTAGTTCTACGTCACGTAAGAAACGACATGGTGTAAACCCGAAATTTGCTTCGTTTACGGTTAATTTTTAACTTCAATCGCTTTTACGTTACATTTTAAATTGTTGCTCTTTACTTTTTCAGTGGCCGGCGAAGAAATATTGAATATCGTCCGCCTTTACTTATTAAGAATGAAAAATGTGGCAGAAGGGAAATGGTATCGTTGAGTAAGTATCGCGTGTCCGAAATTGACGTGGCATTAATAATACAAACCCTTTAAGAGTTTGGGATTGGACAAATTGGATGAGTAAATGATGTGTATAACTACTTTGAATATCAAACAAGCCAATATCTTAACCCATCGAAATTTCTACCCAATTTAGGTAGATCAAAGGTGGTTCCTTCGTGGGATTTTAAGCAAGTTTAGCTATCCCTTACAGTATTTTTCTGATCAAGTTACTTTGTGCTTACTATGACATCTTGTAACGTGAATGTATCATTATCCAACATACGATTCAACTAAAAGAAGCCTAGGTGTCATTTGCCTATTTTTGTATAGCACATTTACCCTATCATCTAGCTTAATTTCGAGTTAGTTCCAGTTCAATAAGTTTTTCGGATTGATGGCTTGCAATTTAGGCCCAAATATTCTTACTTGCCGTAAATTTAAAAAGAAAATAGTGCAAATCTAGGTGCAAATTTTAAATTACGACTCTATGGTTAAATTAAACCTAATTTTTGTTCTATAGATCACGATTTACATTAAGACCCCTTTGAACGATTCTTTAAAGGACACTCTTAAATAATCTCTAAAAATCGCAACGTTTTGAAAAATCTATTGAAGAATTTCTTTGTGGATCCTTTAACTTTTAAAATCTCCTGAGGAACTCTTGAATCTGATATACAGCGTGTTTCAAAATGAATAGAGGGGTTTTAACATGTTATAATATTTAATACATCAAACTTACAGCCACAATTGTTATATCAAATGAAAGAGAAACTCAAACAGTTTTACAAAATAGCCTACAAGTGTTCAATGTGAGCACCATTCGTCACTTGGCATACGTCAAGACGGTATGCTAGTTCTTCCCAAACTTTGATGAGTGTCTCATTAGTAATTGCTGCAACAGCTGTTTCAATCCTGTTTCTTAAATCGGGAAGGTCGGCTGGCAGTGGAGGCACATACACACGGTCCTTAATAAACCCCCAAAGATAAAAATCACACGGGGTTAGGTCGGGTGACCGTGGAGGCCATGCGAAACAAGCCCTGTCATTAGGCCCGTTACGGCCAATCCAGTGGTAGGGTACAGTTAGGTTAAGCCAATCGCGTACCTCATTATGCCAGTGAGGCGGCGCACCATCTTGCTGAAAGATGAAGTTTTCTGGTTCATCATGTGTCAGTTGAGGGAAGAGCCATTGCTGTAACGTATCCAGATAAGAAGTACCAGTGATAGTTGCTTCACCAAAAAAGAAAGGACCATAAATTTTCTGCCGGGATATGGCACAAAAAACATTCAATTTAGGAGAGTCTCGTTGCACTTGTACCATCATGTGGTGATTTTCTGAGTCCCAAATCCTAACATTATGGGTGTTAACTCGACCACTAAGGTGAAAGGTCGATTCATCACTGAAGACGACAAGATCCAGAAAATCTTCATTGTCATGCAACAACATGTCGTTAGTGAAGTTGGCACGTAAAAGATGGTCGGTAGGCTTCAGAGCCTGTAACAACTGCAAACGATAAGGACGTAGCTGTAAGCGTCGCCGTAAAACTCTCCAAACAGTCGTCACAGGAATTGCTAATTCACGACTAGCCATCCGAACGGATTTCATAGGGCTACGCGTCAACGAATTACGCACTTGCTCAACGCTCTCTTCACTAGTTCGTGGTCGTCCCGTACTCTTGCCTTTACAAAGGCAGCCAGTGTCTTGAAACTGATGATACCATCTACGAATGTTGTTATCACCTGGAGGAGCACAACCGAACTTAATCCGGAACGCACGTTGCACAGTAACAACAGATTCCGTCTTTGCAAACTGTAAAACACAAAACGCTTTCTGTTCTTTAGTCGCCATCTTTGCTATTAGCGCTTTCTAGCGGAAACATACGCACTGATGCCAACAAACAAAAACTGTTTGAGTTTCTCTTTCATTTGATATATCACTTGTGGCTGTAAGTTTCATCTATCAAATATTATAACATGTTGAAACCCCTCTATTCATTTTGAAACACGCTGTACATTGTAACGGTAGGTAGCTTTATATTTTTTCGAAATTTCATTGTGAAGCTAGGGATTTTGAGATTTCTAAGTTTGCCTATATCATAGAAATTCTATAGGATTGTAGAAAATAGTTTTATTAATGGATTCGAGGTCGGAGACTATATGTCGAGAATTTAGGTCATATTGAGTTATCTTAATTATAGTCCTAGCCCTACAAGTCGAAAAATGCGATTATAGGGCGTTTGATGATTGAAGCAAGCCATTTTGCTCAATTGCACCTATATTGGACCAATACAAACATTTTTAGATGGGGAGCCATCCCTAAATGTAAATTTTTTTCGTTTTCTGCATTTAACAAGTAAACTACACCCTTTATCAAAAAAGCTGTGGTTACCTTTTCTATAGAGCATAAAATTCCATTAGTTAAAGTCCTAGTTAAAGTTAAAGTTAAAACGTAAACGTTACATCGACGTGGACACCAAATTTTTTAATAATTAAATAACGTTCAAACAACAAACGTGAAAATATAACTAACAAACGCCAACAAACGACCAACAAAAAATTGCAATAAAAATATTCTGAAAAATTCAAAAAGTGGGGGGCTAACTATCCGCTCAAATTATGAAATTTGAATAATTAAATAACGGTCAACCTACAAACGTGAAAATGTAACTAACAAACGCCAACAAACGACCAACAAAAAATTGCTGAAAAATTCAAAAAGTGGGGGGCTAACTATCCGCTCAAATTATGAAATTTGAATAATTAAATAACGGTCAACCTACAAACGTGAAAATGTAACTAACAAACGCCAACAAACGACCAACAAAAAATTGCAATAAAAATATTCTGAAAAATTCAAAAAGTGGGGGGCTAACTATCCGCTCAAATTATGAAATTTGAATAATTAAATAACGGTCAACCTACAAACGTGAAAATGTAACTAACAAACGCCAACAAACGACCAACAAAAAATTGCAATAAAAATATTCTGAAAAATTCAAAAAGTGGGGGGCTAACTATCCGCTCAAATTATGAAATTTGAATAATTAAATAACGGTCAACCTACAAACGTGAAAATGTAACTAACAAACACCAACAAACGACCAACAAATAATTGAAATCAAAATATTCTGAGAATTCAAAAAGTGGGGGGCTAACTATACGCCCAAATTTTTGAATTTTGAATAATTAAATAACGGTCAACCAACAAACGTCAAAATGTAACACATCATCAAACGACCAACAAACAATTGAAATCAAACTATTCTGATAATTAAAAAAAAGGGGGGGGGGGCTAACCATACGCCCAAATTTTGAAATTTGAATAATTAAATAACGGTCAACTTACAAACGTGAAAATTTAACTACCAAACACCAACAAACGACCAACAAACAATTGAAATCAAACTATTCTGATAATTAAAAAAGGGGGGGGGCTAACCATACGCCCAAATTTTGAAATTTGAATAATTAAATAACGGTCAACCTACAAACGTGAAAATGTAACTAACAAACACCAACAAACGACCAACAAACGATTAAATTAAAAATATTCTGAAAATTCAAAAAGTGGGGGGTTAACTATACGCCCAAATTTTTGAATTTTGAATAATTAAATAACGGTCAACCAACAAACGTCAAAATGTAACTAAAAACACCATCAAACTACCAACAAACGATTGCAATAAAAATATTCCGAAAACCCCAAAAGTGGGGGGTTAACTATACGCCCAAATTTTGAATTTTTTTTAATTGCCTTTATTTTACAGTGGGCGGAGTGTTAGCAATTTGCTACTCTTTCCACTCAACCCACTATACAATCACAAACACTCATGTCTTACCTGGGATTCGAATCCAGGACCCTTGTAGCCAAAGTTAGAGCTACTAACGTAAGCTCATCTGAAGTACGCAGGTCGGCTTTTTTGAGTAATTAAACAACGAAACCAACAAACGTGAAAATGTAAAATGTAACTAACAAACACCAACAAACGATTGCAATAAAAACATTTTGAAAAATGAAGATGAACATATTAATTTTGATGAAGAAACATGAGTAATGTACAGACTCTCACTTTTACTTTAATTTGTTAGTGTTTTGTAAATATAATTGGTTGTCAAATTTAAGCTGATTAGTTGACTTTGAGGTTATGTTTAAGCCGTTATAGTAGGGATAGAGAACAAAAGTTGATGGGGAATTTTTTACTCTACAAAACAGTAACCTGGCCTTTTTTTCTAAATGGAGTAGTTTTCCTGTAAAATAGTAAAAAACAAAAAAAAACGCAGTTTAAGAGTTTCTCACCCCCTCCTCTGATAGGGGGTATCTAAAATTTCTGTTTGGGCCAATGGTCATCTGTTTCAAGTCGTTGCTTTAAGTCGTAACAAAGCGGTCTATGAATAGGTATAATTAAATTTTTAGAGAATTTTATGATTTTTGATAGGGTTTAGTTTTCCTGTAAAATGCCGAAAACTAAAAAAAATTACCTTTAGGGATGGCTCATCATCCTCTGTCAGAGGGGGGCGGATGCCTCCCCATCTAAATATGTCTGTTTTGGTCCAACATACAATTCTGCAAAGTGGCTTACTTTAATCATCAACGCCCTATAAGGACTATTAGTGCTATTTGATTACAACTGCGAATTCGGCATGAGGTCATTTTAGCACCGTGTAGTGGTAATTATTGTGATCACGTAAAAGACTACCCGTCTTGAACCAAGTCACTAAGGAATTTATTGTCGCTAAATCAAACTTGAAAGTGTACTTTTATTATTGCACTATTGACACATAATCGAAAAAATAATCTGCAACCCTAAAAAAACTCTCCAGAGACTGCTATCGCAATTAACATTAAAAATCTCTTAATTACCTGACATCCACCCACCTGAGGAACGTTTCAGTTCACAAATTAATACTCAATGAAGACATAACACACTTCAAATCTAGAAAAAATGTACAAAACGGTACCATGTCATTACAGTCCGGTCAAAATAGCCCGAACAAAACAATCTGCACACAAAATAACCCCGCCAAAATATAGGTATTATCGTACGACTGAATCGTCGTGCGCGGGTGCACCATTCTGTTGAAACTAACAGCTTCCAACTTTCTTTTATCGATGTATGTGTTAAAAATGCTACTAATACAGTAGGTATGTCCTTTTTCTACGGGCTGTTATAATATAGGTGATGACGATTTCTCCGAAACGAAACGTTGCATTGTAAATCTTTCAGCGCCATCTTGTAAAGCTTAACTAATGCTATTGGCCTTTCCCGCACTTTCACTACCTTCTCTGGTATTTTCACTCTCTATCCGTACCCTGCTCCGTTTGCACCTCTCCAGCCTTCTCCATCTCCAAAAGGAAACGTTCTCTGAATAGGACGCAGTGACGGCCCCTTTGCCGCCTGTACTCGCACCAAACGGACCTGTCTATCAGCTCCAAGAAGAAGCTCCAAAATGCGTGCCAACGGCCAGTCGAAACGTCTCTTGTTGGTAGAGCACGAGTTCTCCGAGTAGTAGATTCTTGGAAAACTTCTTTTTCTTGGTGCAGTTCAGCATCCCCACTCCGGAGACAACAATCGACGGTCCAAATTCAATCTTTCTTCTCTAATGGTAGCAGCTAACAATTCAAACCTTGGGTTCGATATCTGCTTCAATTGTGGTAGCCCACAATCATAAGAAAACTTGACCCTTTCGGAGACCTCGAAGAAAAATCTCGAGATTCTTATAGACAACAAAAATGGAAGATCCTGCATCCAGCTGCGAAAATCAGTTTCAGTCACAGCATCTACTGGTGCATTCCATGTTCTCTGCAGTATCAACTTTGGCCTTAAAGTCGTCGGCGAAGTGAATCCAATGGGATCGAGCTATTGTCAGCATAAGTCTCTTCGTAATTGGTCGTTCGTCCGCATACAAATACGCCTTTTTCAGACATTGATCAGTACTCAACACATCTTCTATTGGACCCCAACCTAATCCCAGTATCATCGATTCCGACTAATACCAGTGTACTCCCACCCTCTCAGACCAAATTTCCCTTCTTCCATGAGGGTCTTTGATTCCTTTATGAACTATTTCCTGCGTACTTTAAATTTGTGGTCAGTGGCATACTTTTGTATGGTCACGAAGGGCTTATTCCTTTTAATGGCAGCCACTAGTTTTCATTAGAGTACACTTTTTTTTGAAACATCAGCGTCAAAAACTAATTTTACATAATCAAATTTAAGAGAAAAACCTAAATTAAGGAAAATTAGTTAACAAACTATTTTCCTTAATTTGAATTTTTCTCTTAAATTTGTTTATGTAATATAATTAGTTTTTTTTTCTACTGCTATATTCATACTCTTTAAGATATATAATAAAAAAAAGTGGTTGCTATTTAAAAAAAATATGCCCCCTTTGATCATCAGAAGTACGTCACTAACCACAAATTCAAAGTACGTAGATTGGTAGAAAACCTTTTATAACTTTGGATACCATAAAAAGCTTTTTAAAAAAATTTTTATTTGAAGATATGTTCAGTGTTCCAGATAAAATAGTGTACGCTAGTTCTACTAGCATAAAGTTGAATGTCAAGAAGGGGATTAGGTAACTGTGTCACCAAAAACGGAATTATTGTGTTAGAAGACTACGTTAGAAAACTTCACCGTGAAATACGCATGTTCCCGCCGCATAAATTGTGGTCGTTTTCGGTCAAGGACAGATTACTTAAACGCGCTGAGTATTTTCGCTGTGAGAGGATTCAGTTAGTGTGGCGGTTAGTGAACAAAAGGGGATTAAATCTGTGGTGCCCGTAGTCGAAAATACATTACCCATGATTCTATTTACGAGGTATAGTGCTGACCATTTATTTATTATGTCAAAGCATGAGTTAGATATTTATAGGAGGCATAGTCATAATTTGTGGTTGATTAAAGTTGTTGTGGTTAAAGAACAAATTTGGATCTGTGATTTCTTAGGATATCGGATAGGAAAATTTGAAGCCGTTTATTTTGCAAGTACTTTTATCGTTTATGAACATATGGACAATTCGATTTATAGGAAAAGTTTCATTGATCCATCATGACTATTTATAAGGTAAATGGTACAATATATACAAAACTGTATGGTCGTTTGGCGTTTAATTTTGCAAGCAATCACACTCCACAAATTCAAAGTTTGAAATCAGGTTTCAGAGAAATCTAGGAAAGGAGCCATTTCTTGTAAGTACGTAACTGTAAACTTCTCGCCGTAGGTTATTTTATAAAACCGCATCTTCCAAGGAGAGTGGCTTTCTGTGTCACACATGTAACATCTTTTCTCATTTTGGCTCCCTGTGCACAACTTTTCTGCACTTGTGGCCCTGCTCCTCTATCTCTCAGCACTTTTTGTACTTTGTTATCTCCGCCTCTTTGTTTAGTCTACAGGGGGCTGCCCACCCAAACTCGATGGAACGTGTCTAGTTTTACCGCTGTCATTTTATCAGCCTAGAGATTGAAATCCAGCAGCAAATGAATTCAACTTTCTCAGAGCGGTTATACAGGAACCCTTAACCCTTAAACATATAGACAACCAATGGGAGCATTGATTGTACTTAGCTGTGGGAACACGTCTCGATAACACACTGGCCAGCAGCGAAAAGGCCACTGAAGAGAACTCCGAATTACGGTCTCTCATATAACAAAGAGGACGGCGATATCAAGGGCTATATAGACGCAGACTGGGGCAACTCCGTCGACGATTGTAAATACCGCTATTTCATCTATGTATACTTAACCCTCATATTTAAGAGGTATGTAAATCTTATGACATTAACGCAGAGGGTTACCTTTGATTTCTTTTAGGGTTCAAGTTCCGGCTCGACTTTTAGTTTTTAATTTTAGTTCAAACTCAAATTTAATTCAACTGTAAGGACCGGCTTAAGCTTCGGAGACACTACCTACACTTCCGTTGACGTACGAGTGTGTAACATTGGGCTAAATTCACCAATACCTATGAGTGCAGACGCCCTTGCCGAGAACTGAGCTCGACGTATAACTTCATGCAAGGTAAGAGTTGCCTTATATGTTTTACTTGTACTTGGCCCGACATATAAATTTATTTGTGGAAACTTGTTTTAAGATTCAATAACCAATTTAATCGATCATTTTTGATTGGGGGTTATTTGTTAAACTGAGGAATTTCACAGTTTACATTGAAGTTACTAAGATTTTTGTGTAACGTAAGTTATAATTTTGAGTATTTGTGGAGGGAATTTTTATTTTTGCCATTTGTTTGAATAAACCAGTATTTACCCTCGTATCTTCTCAATTTGATACGGGGAGAATTCAGTTAGAAATTAAGTGGCGTTCAACCATTGGTAAATGCAACGAATGACGAAGATCAATTGCTCAGAAAAAACTACCGCCGTAACAGATCTCAAACTTGTAATTTCTTATTTAATCCTGAGCTAGTTGACCGTTTATGCTGTGGGTTTGAGGAAACGCAGCGCCAATTCTACCAACAGTTATATAAGAATGACAATATGATCGTATGAATGCATCCTCTACAAGAAATCTTTTCCTACCTTTAAGAGAAAAATTCGGTAGAAATTAAATTGTTTTGTTGACATTTTTCCTTAGCAACCGTCGCGCCTCTTAGCAACTTTACCGCATGAATTGCTTGATACAAAAAATTCCATTTTAAATTAATGTGCTTTGAGATTATTTTCTCTGGCATACCTAGCGATTAATTGTCCTCCAAAGTGCAAATAATGCTATAAGCGCCCGCATCGGGTGGTAAGTTCTTCTATAGGTCTGGAGAAATTGGAAGACCGAGACGTTGCCCTCGACCTAAAAACTTCACTTACCACCCTTGTAGCTTAATATACTATTGACGTCTTACTACACTTTTAAACAAGTGTCGTAAACAATCAGCTTTTCGCTGGTGTGTTTAAAACTAGACCTTCAATTGAAGGTTCAGGGTAAGTTTCCGTAAATTGAAAATTAAAACCCGTTCCTCATAACACTACATAAACGGAGATATGAAATGAAAGCGTGCTGCACGGTCGGTATATTTAGATGACACTTTTCGTATGATTCGGTCATGAATTTAATTGCGAGGTAAAACTGTTTTACAACCTTGCGAACTTCATGAAAGCGGTCTTTTAACACAGCTAAATGTGGAATTGTCGGTAGTTATTCGACTGCAACGTTTTTTTCGTGCGGTGAAAATAGAAACAGTGGAGATGATTTTGAAACTATAGCGAGAAATATTGGCAAGACATACAATGCGGCATGCGATTATCATGATAAATGAATGTTTAAATTCTCTACTGTAACTACATAACACGCTACATCGAAAAACTTGGGGCAGTTGTTGTAAAACTTTAGCATATTAATCATCGAGCAGCGACGTATGCAGTGAGTTTACATCATGAAAATGGTAATACGAGTTTAATAAACTTCCCTTTATGTTATTCGCGGGGGTAAAAAATGTTCGCCGTCCTTTGGCGAAATAATTGCATTGTTATTCGCAAATAACTGGTAATTTTCCTAGTTAAATGTGCACCGACCTCCTTTTCACGACTAACTGCCTTTACGCGACCGAATCAATACCGAAGACTCAATCAAAAAGGCCCTCAAGGAGAATTTCAGAATTATTCGTCCAGTTCACTACGATGTCCCTAATACCCTAAACCGTACGATATATACGAACGGAATCGTTATACTAAGCTTCTCCAAGCGAAACGATCGTTACTCTACAATATAAATACCATATTTTGATCAAAGACTCTCCCAAATGGCTATAAAAAGGTTAAAGAATTCTTCCTCTAATCTTTCTCGAGTGGTTGTACCGCTTTTATTGTAAGTAAATATTGGGTTAATGTTTCGTGATTCGAGCAACTGTAAAAATTCACATTCCCGACAAAGAGCCTCCTGAAGTTTGCGCGGAAACTTAAATTAGTTTCAATTTCGACTTCACTTTATTAGCATTGTTCGAAAGTAAAGCTTCATAATGAACTTTAACGTTGACATGCTTTGGTAAAATTACAGCTTAATTATTAGTTAGTGACAAAGATTGAACGTAATTACTGCTACGCGTTCTAGATACAATTTTTTTAATTAACCAAGAATTTAATTTAATTTAATTTAGGAATCAGTATGGAGCAACTTTCCATAAAATAGGCGCACAGGTAAAAATTTTGTGGAAAATCACAGCCGAGCCGTACAAGTTAGTTGCATCTAAATAGACAACGATCGTGAAACTATTGCGTTTCTTCAAATACCTAAATGAAATGAAAGTAGTAATCCAGAATAGGAATGACGGTACACAAGTTTGAAGTCATACGTAAATATAGGCCAAATTCGAAGGCATAAGAGCCGCAAGGGTCAAATTTGCCCCTCTCGAATTTCTGCAATAAATTTCCGAAAGAGAATTAGAGCACATGTCGAAGTATCGGGATGAAATAAGTGAGGGGCTCCTAAGGGTCGAAACACAAATTCAATTTAAAAAAGATATAAAAAATTGCCATCCCTATACTCACCACTCTGCGCATCAATTTTATAGTTTTTCATATCATTTGCCGTTATGGCCCTTATCGACTTCGCTACGAAGAAAAGGAAGAGGAAAGCTCAAGTGGCTGTCTTATTTACGATACATGCATTGAATGCTTCCTCAATTTTTAACAAGATCATGGCAGGTCGAAGTAATATCGGGATCGCATTAAATATATTGGATGAACCCAGAGCACGTGAGGTGTACGAGCCGCGCATTTGTCAATTTTATAATTGACGGCCGAAAATGGTCGAACCCGCACTTTGCGGCGGATCAAAGCTGAAAAGAAAATCCTGAGAGTTATATAAGTTTAGAAAAGCATCACAATACGATAACTGATTTAAAGTGTCACAAATTCCCAGCTACATTGGATGGATCGGAATTTTCCTCCAGGAGAAATACATTTTCCTCAACTGTCATGTAAGGGGGAAAACTAATTTATAAAATCGAACAAGAGCACAATATCTAAAACTGCGATCGCATTAATCAAGTAAAAAGATTACATCGATGTGCTTTTAAAAGTTGTAACTGACGACGGAAAAACAGAATTGCGCTGACGTCCGTACAAATTAGTTCTTCCTCTTACATTGCTCCCCGAGCGTCTTTGGATACTTTTTAGTTTTCACGTTCCGCTTTCTAAAAGTCTCTCGTACTGTCTCCCCGCCGAAAAGTTTGATTAGTAACAGTTTCGAAGTTAAACGCGGAAACCTTCGAAGAAAATGCGGGCGGCGGTCTCGCACATGTGGAAAAACTTTTTCCGATTAATTTACCGGCCACTCTATAAGCTCTTGTAGCGTTTGATTGACTGCGGAACTTATTTAATAAGATTAACGAATTAATTACAACAGTGCGATTTGCTTAGCTTCTAATAAACATTATTTAATTTTGGACAACAAATTTTGATTTATTTTTAAACCGAAATCTATAACTTTCCGAATAAATACATATACAGAGTGGCTAATAAATATGGTGTGAAAACGGTTGGAGATATCGGTTTGAAACTTTTAGGACCTAAATAAGATGTGTTTGTGTATATTCTAGCATGAAAAGAAAATGTTTGTTCCGTATGGTTTTTTGACACGGCCGCCATTTTACCTTCAATATGCAATAGGATCATACGGTTACGCAAAAATTATTAAATAACTACTACGAATACGGTTGAGTTGAAACGTAATTATGCAAATAATTTGAAAACCGTTTTGTAGATTAAAAATTCTAGAAAGAGGATGTAATACAATTTGTAATAAACTAAAATTGATAGAAATGTAGCGGAACTCAAAAAAAGATAACAATTCTTGTTGTATTATTCACAATTTCGCTCTAATAAATTAGTTAGTTTTGCATAACCGTATTTTTCCTATTGCATATTCGTAATGAACGTAAAAGTAGCTTTCCAACAATGTGTTGTAAGACCTATGTTGCCATTACAAAAAACAAAATGGCGACCGTGTCAAGAACCATATGATATGAGACAAGTAATATTCCGCACAGTTTTAATAAAATTCTGTATATTCTGTAATATAAATTGCTAGCTCATCTAGGCTCACACAAGGTTCCAGTTTTGTACAGTACAGAGCTCGCATGAGCGTTTGGGGGGTGGTGTGGCGCAAAAGGGATTCCCATCTAGCTCGAATTCATACTATTAGTAAAGTAGATTGAAATCGAGATTGAAATTGCATATTTTGTTTTAAACAAAATCTAATTTTTTTAATTTTGTGACAAATATTTAAAGTGTTCCTTTAATTAAGGTTTAAATTAATACTAAAGATTTAAAAAAAATATTTATTTAAAACGAAACAATTATAATTCCATCCGTATAAATCCGTGGTTTTATTTAATTACAATTATCTAATAATTATTATTAGGTTTTCCTGCAGTTTTCCTAATTCGTAAGGTAAATACCGGAGTAGTATAGACCAACTTCAGACCTTCTGCAGAGGCACCTCTAAACAGCATTATGCGGGTCACTCTGTAATTGGGCGCATGCCTGTTGAGGGCCCAAAACAAGAGAGGGATAATAATAATAAATAAATAAATAAATAACAGTCTTATGTATTAATTTGTAACAGTAATTCATTATTCTTTATCACAGTTTATTACATACCACAAGCGCATCGAAGTGGGAACTATTTATTACTTCGGCGTTGAAATTAGAACTGTCCTGAAACGCAATTTTATTTTTATTTTTTTTTTTATTTTGCTACACTGGCCCTCTTTTAAAACTTTTGCGTCTCGCAACACCGACGACGGTTGTAGCGGAGACACAGTCCAATGCAACTCTTGTTCTATAACACCAACTTGATAACGGTACTAGCACGGTTGTGTTGAACTACTTTTACGGGAATGGTCCTAAACTTTTACATGCGACAACCAATTGGTTGCTCATGCCTTTAATGGCAAGTAAAACTTAACTAAACCAAAGGTTTCAACAAAAGGAACTGTTTTCAACGAACTATCGCCCTTTTTTTTGACAAACGAGTTTTTGAATTTTTAAGAAATCTTTTTTGAACCT